AAACCAGCAACTTTAGAGTTACTGTTCCATTTCAAAGAGCAAGGCTTTCTTCTTTTACTGTGGTTCATTCCAGTCACTGATGTGTGTCCAAAATGGAGGGAAGATGTGTAGCTGTCTTGCTCTGCATTTGTTGTTTCGAATAGTGCCACTGACTCACATACTATTTGGAAATGTTTCCCAGTATTTAATTGCTAAAAAGACCAATTCTTAAAAAAATTCCTCTTGTGGAGAGAATTGATTATGAAATGTCAAAACACAGATGGGATTGGCTTAGCCCTACCTGTCAGAAGAGATGCTGTGCTTGTTTCTGAAATGATTTACATTTGACTTGTCCTTGCTGTGATAATACAGTGTGGATTTAAGAGCTCTTATATAAGAATCTGAATTTTTTTAATCACATTGGTCTTCAACTTACTTTTGTTCTGGTAGGGAATATGAAAATAAAAATTGTTGACGCTGGAGTAATATCAGTTGAGTGTCCTGGAGTAAATTGGATCAACTTAGGATCACTTCTAATCAGTGTCATCATAGTGTTTTCATAGGTCATACTCTTCTATGTGAGAGCCTTAAAGAGAAAATGAAGTTTCCTAATACTTCTGTTCAGTGGCAAAATTCTGACCTTGCTGCTGAGATGAGGACGGTGAAGGAGCACTTCTTTGGGATGAGGGATGCAAACACGACTACAGGGCATGCACTCTGCAGTAGCAGGATCTTTGTTGAGCTCAAACTGGTGTTCTGTGTCTTTGTCTGTTGCCTTCCAGATGTTAAAAAAAAAAACACCACAACAAAACAACTTTCAAATCCATTGCCGAACTCCCAAAACCAAACAAATCAACAACAACAACACACATGAATCTGGCCTTGCTTTTAGTGTGCAGGTACTTAGCCTTTTAAAGAAGCAACTTTTCTTATAGTTGGAATCCTCACATCTATTTTCAGTAATATCTAATTTGCTGCTTAATAAGGGTAATGTTTAAAGTCGAGAGGGTTGTGCTGTGTTCATTAAGCATAGACCTAACCTCCTTAATACTTGGCTTTTTTTCCCTTTGAGCAGTCAGTTAAGGTGGTTAGCACAACAAACAAGCAAACATTTCTAAGTGCTACATTGCTGTGCTTGTTCTAGTCATCTCTGAGGACAGGCTTAGAACCTATTTTTATTACTTCTGTAACTAGAAGGCACTGCTCGACAGTGCCAATCACAGTCTCTCCAGCATATTTGTCTTGCAAAGAAACTGGCAGCACAAGATGCTTCCTCTGAGAGAGTAACACAGGTCGTGTGTTTTTAAGAGCCAAAGAGACCAGAGATGTTTTCCAAATGTATGCTTTCTTTGCTGGATGGTTTATGTGGGGATTAGTCTACCTAGTGTCATTTAGTATGCATTTTTGGATTCTTCAAAACAAAACAGTCATTTATTTTTGCTAAATTGTAAGAATCTCTAGCTTGCTGAGGAGTGATGCTTCTGAAATTCTTTCTTTTGAAATGAAGCATAGCAAAATCTGTAAACTTGAATGCTTCTGTGTGATGGTGTTCTTTTACTCCCCCTTCCCCTGTTGTTTCAAAGCCATAATTTATAGAGGTTATTCTCTTCAACAGTGTATTAAGTAAACAACCTAAATCTAGAAGCATTGACAGTTTTGCTGTGCTTTTCCCCACATCTGTGAAGATGCCTGTAGCACTGAAGCAGGAAGAAGACATAATAGAATTTAATATTTGACATATTTTAAATAGAGAACATCTGCCTCTTCAAAATGAGATACCTCTCTGAGTAATTTTCCCCAAACTGTTATTCTCTTAGTACTATACAAAGTCCCTACATAACATTCACAGCACAAAAGATGTAGCAGATAATACTTCATTTCAACTTTATAATCTGTCTGGAAGCCAAATACCTATCACGCTAAACCAGTGAAAGTCACCTTGGGGAGAGACTACCACTTGCCTGGCAGCTGGAATGCTGCCATGTGTTCAAGGGAGCCTGTTTGTGAGTGGCACAGGAGAAGTCAGTAAAGCAAATTAGATGTGTGTGTTTATTCACTTTTTTCTGTCTTAAGGCACCTTTTATCTTTGAAATACTAAAAGACTGGAGAAATTTTAGGTCATTTCTATTCATTGAAAATGCTGGTTTATAATAACAAACTGTGAAATCTGTCTCTATACAAAGTTGTTTAATTTGTAGTCCATCCATTTGCCTTTCACGTTCTAATACTCTGCAAAACCAGATCTTTTGTAACAGTGAGGAACTGCTGCTCCCCTTTCCTAGCACCAGCAGTGGGAAAGTGCTTGTGACTGAAACTCTTCAGTTGTAGCAGTGACAGGTGCGCTGAGATGCAGTTCTTCAAAACTTTGTAGGGAATTCAAGGGAATTAAGTAGTAGAGCAGAAATGGATTTCAGCCAAAACTGAGGGCCCTTTCAAAATCTGAAATGTTAAGCTTAAAACTGAAAGGGAGAAATTTGAGCTGTTGTTTTGAAAACCAGTGGGGTGAATTTTTACATGACACTTAATAGAAAGGTAATAGCTTCGACCTGCTTGGGTTGATTCATTTTTACAGTCCGTAGTTCAAAAATAGGCTCTCAAAGTGTCAGAATGCCTTTATTCTCATCTGTTTTTTGGTTTATGACATAGTTTGAACAAAATTTTTAGCCATGTCAACTTGTGTAATGTACATAATTTATAAGGAAAAAAAGGCAAACCAAAACCAACTTCAGTAACAAAATGCAAGACAAAATTACAGGTAGTGGTTAAGATAACTGTATTTGACTATCATAGCTTGCTTCAACTGAAATCTCAGTACTGTCTTTCTTCCTCATGTGTCTGAACACTGCACTTGTAGGTGATACAGATAGATCCCTCAGTGTGCATCCAGTAAGTCAAATTGTTTTTTTTCATGTTTGTTCTCTCATCCTTCAAGACAAATACAAGGACAAGGGACAGAAAAATACAGAAGCTGTTTCAGGTGTCAATATTTCCTTGGCATTCTGTTGGTAAATGTAGTTTCAGAAATAGAATTAGTGAAAAACTTCTCATGGGGCCTGTATGGGAATTACTTAACAAAATACTTGCTATCTGGGGGAGAGAGCAAAAGTAAGTTCAGTAAATCTGAAATATGCCTGTATTCTGGGGAGAGAAGAGCAGCGATGAAAGGACTAACTTGCAGTCTCACAGGATTTTGATTGCAGAGAATCTGACAAAGTTGGTGTACTGGAACTTTTTTTACCTGGTTGAAACCTTAATATGATTTACAGGGAATAAAGGTTTGTAAATACATTTTAAGCATACTGGGACAACCTCTTCACAGGGAAGTAATGTGAAGCTTTTGTCTGGTACTCTGAGCTTGTAGCATTGAAACAGTTACATCTTTGATTTGTAATAAGGCTAAAAAAGTATCTTTAAAGGTTTTTTTTGTTGAAGGAAAGTAAACAGAGGAAGCCAGATTACACTTGCTCAAAGTACCTTGTATCTCTAAATTTTTATTAGACTATCTGTAGTGAGGAGTTGATGCTAATAAATCTTTCTCAAGATTGGTTGCACCTGGAGGATCAGTTGTCTCTCTGGTAAGATAATCTGATGGGAATCCCATTTGGAATAGTGTCCTTCTCTCTGACTAATGCATCAGTATTAAGGAAACCACAGAAATGTTAGGAGACAAGATTACTGTGCTGTCACATACTCAAGACTGTCTGTGTTCTTTTCAGAAATACAAGTTAAACATTCCCTTGAGCTGGATTTCCTGAAATAGATGTTTGGTTTGTTGGGATTGTTTGGTGTTTTTTTGTTTGGAAACCTAATAAATGGACCTTCCTCTGTGTGCTGGCTAATTGCTTCCAAAAAGCTTCCCTTTGTTGTCCTGTAGGCAACCAAGTCTGTTTATCACATGATAAATCTTCTGTCTCAGTGCCTGCCTTTAACAAATGAGGCATGAGTACAAATATTCCCTCTCTCTCAAAATATAAAAAGACTCAGTTTGGTTGCCTCACTGCAACACCTTTAGCATTATTGAATCCTTTTATGCTATGAGAAATGTGTGCTTTAATGCTTGAGTGAAATGTTCTTTTTCATCTGACAAGGGGGTTTTGGTTCTTTCCACTTGTTAACAGGCACAGCATTCAGAAAGTAAAGGTGAAGCTGTATTAACATTGTAAACTTGTTCTTACATGTGCTGTCTGATGCTAACCAAGTGTGTCTTTTTGACTAGCCACAGCCATTGGAAACTTGCCTACACTAGTCTCAAAGACAGGAATATAAGACAAATAGGGAAAAAGTGACAAACTCATCTCCTGCATTCTGTATTGGTCATAGGAAAAAAAAGTCCATAAATGCTCTGAGTACCAGAGCATGGTGAAGAGCTTATTAAGTGTAACTGGTAGGTCACGAATTACCTAGGAATTGATTTTCAAAGTGTTTTGAAAATCTGCTTTGTCTTTTTGTGTACGTGTGCTGGATATTGGTAGACAGTTGTCCTTGGCATAACGCTTCTGCATTGTTACCTCATCCTGTTTAACAATAATGGTTTTAAAAAAAAAAAAATTAAAGTAAAAAATCAGCAAGAGTCCAGATTTGGTGGTAGGAATGCTGGGTGAAGCCATACAGCAGTGATGTCTCCTCTGCAAAGCCTTTGTCCAGCGATCCTGCAGGTCAAAGCTTGTTCCCTCTTTCATGCCATTGCTGCACCCAGATGTGGTATATTAGGTATATCATTGTCTGATCCTGACAGCTTCATGAGAAATTACACATGACAAACAACATGTATGGCAGTATGTCTTGAAAATCAAAATTTGGACTTAGATTTAAAACATCTGATGCTTGTTGAATAGTACCAAAAGAAAGGGCTCTGTGAGGTTAGGAGAGCGCTCTTCTTGGCATCCAGTGTGCTGTCTGTTTGTTCCTTCTCGGGCAGAAGTATCAGTTTCTGATTCATCCTTGTGTTAGACACTACTTCCTGTTATTCCCATTAGTGGTTCCCAAATTCACGAATGCAAAGGCCCAGCACTTTGCTTCCATCTTTGTCACAGCTTTGCCAAACTTGCATACTTGAGGCCTGAGAAATTTTGCCTTTTCTAGTCTTAGAAGATCACTTGTGAACATACTACTTTGAATAAAACTATTGTTTCAGTCTTCAGTAGGAGAATACTGAGCTGTGTTGCCTTGTGTATATCCACTTCACAAAGAACTTACTGTAAGCTACACCAGCTCTTTCTTTTCTAAATGCTGTCTGGTTTTATAAATGCCGTGACAGTAGTCATGCTGATAGCTGGAGAGTAGAAGTATTGTGCACAGGTAGTAAGCAAAAAAACACTCTTGGATTCTATGGTATGAAGTAAATATTCAGTTTCTAGTTTCTTTTAGTTATTAAAATGTGTGCCTTGGAAAAAAAAAAAGAGGTGGGTGGGGGGAGAAGACTGGGAGGCATGGGAGCCAGCTAGCATCTCTCCTGATGTTTACTTGCTGAGGAAATCTTTTGGGGTTAAAGAAGAAAATACTTTCAGCTCTGCCCTGAATTAGATGCTAAGGTCATGCTGGTACCTGGCTATGCTTTATTCAGCATTGTGATGCTGTTTAATTATGCTCTTGGTGGAGAGCCATTTGTGCTGCTTTCAGTCTTGCAGGATTTCATTATTTTATTAAGCTGAAGTATCATTTGCTCACAGATGTCTCTAGGAAAAAAAAGCTGTTTGGGTAGATTTTCTTCTATTTGGGGTTTCTGTGTGAAAACATCTGGCTGGAGGATATGTCTGGAGCCACTTCAAGAGAGGTACTCTGTAATTATTTTGTTTTAGCAGCAGCTTGGCTAATCTGGTGCCAATCTGTATGTTTATATCGAAGTCTGTAGGTCAAAATATCTATTTGGACTTCAGAGCCACTGAGCAATTCAGGAGTCCATGTTATAGTTACTGTTTCTCTTGATGTACACGTTTCATTCTACAGTTTACATAAAGAAGAGTGTAAATTACCCCTAAGAAACCCAAAAAAGAACTCAGTCGTTTTGTTTTGTGTTCTTCCCTGTGTGTCGTACTCTCTGCTGGATTGATTCTCCCTTGTCTTTGTGAGTGTGTTGTTTTGTAGCTTGGCTGGGTTTTTTTTACGAAGGACTGAAAGTCAGCGTTTACTAGGGTTAGGGCAACTTTTTATAGGTTAAATTAACTTTATTAGGGTTAGGGCAATGAAGGATAGATTGGATTCTGCTAGACTTTGTGTTCTCCACAGACGACCTTTTTCTGATCACTATGGCAAACAATACAGAAGTGGATGGACCCCAGATACCCACCAAAACAGAAGGTCCTTTGCTAGTTTGTAAATAGTAGTGGCTTTTGTCCAGCACTATCTTACACAGATTACCAGACCTTTCCCATGCAAGCAGAATGTTCTTGGAAACTCTCAAGGAGTCTTTGTTCTTAGACTTTAGCAAGAAACCCTGAACATAAGGGCCCTCTGGACACTTAACATTTCCAGGTTTTTTCAGTTATGTGAATTGGTCTAATTCTGTCTTGAAATGTGATTTATAGGAAGAAAACATAAAAATGTATTTGTGCATATATTTTTCATGAACGTTTTAAACAAGCTTATCTGGCCCATTGTATTTAGGGTAATTCCAGTTGCAAAAGCTGTATAATGTTGGTGTTCATTATTGCGAATTTGTTAGTCACCAAAGTAATGGTATGGCATCAGCTACCTGTTGGGCCTGTATGGTGATGGTCAGATTTAAGTGTGTCTTAAGAGAGAAAGTAATTGTGCTGTCTAAAAGCTTGAAGCCTGAAACTTTTATGTTTAAGATCTTGGTTTCCTAAATATTACTGCCATATCTGAGCTCCATCAAGTTGCACAGTAGTACAAGCCTGATCCAGAACAGGCAGGAGGATATTAGCTGTATTTCTATCAAATTAAAGAATGTGATGTGATATTTATGGTAGTTATGAGAGGGCAGGCCTCCTCAACAACATAAAGTCTGATCTGGGGAAAGTCCTCTTGAAAACATTTTGGGTAAATTTGTACTGGTGTGATGACATTGCGCTGCTTTCATGCACTGTCATGTAGCTGCAGTGGTTTTGATTTGGTAGTAAGAGCTTCCGAGTGCACTTACACTCTGCCTCTACCACCTGTTTTTTCAGCTTTTATTTCCATAAGTCCTAACCCTAATAGGTTTACTCATGAGTTCACCAGTGCTTCAGTTCAACAGGTATGTCACTGTAGTATGCTTTGTGATGCGCTCTCCCTGTTTTACTGTTCTAGCTCCCTTTGTGTCTCATCACAACCTGCAGCAATGAGAAAAACAACTCTATTTATTTGCTACTTCTTCACAGGTTACCAAAATGGTCAAAACAGTCACTACCAGAACAGTGCGCCAGGTGCCCCTGGGGCCTGATGGCCTGCCATCCATGGATGGCTCGTCTCCCATGGGCAGCTACACGGATTCAATAGACAGGAGGTACATGAAGAACGGCGAGCGGTACATCACGCCACAGGCTTCATCCACGCTAACCAGGTCTTACAACAGCTACGGCGATGCTTACCCTGAGAGCCACGAGGGCCAGTATCGCCCGTACATTGGCCACGATGGGTATGGGGATCTGTCTGAGAACTACGGCAGCTTGTCCCGTGGCGTCAGCTACCGTCCTCGCTACGCCTACGTGCCAGGAAACAGTTACAGGCCCGATGATGGTAGCTTCACTTTGCCAAGCAGAAGGGATAACTACGGTCCTGTTGCCCAGCCTCAGGTGCCAGTGGGGAGCAGTGTTGACTTGAACCGCTCCCAGCCAGAACGCTTCCAGCCAGAGCCCTATGGACTGGAAGATGATAACCGCAGCCTTGGAGTAGATGATGAAGGGTATGAACTGGATCCGGATTATTCCACTGTGAACCGGAGGACAACTGCAGGTGTGCCAGAGAGAGGAAGACCTCACAAAGGAAGGTAAAACCCATTTGTTTTTTATAATGCTGATCTGCAGCTGGTTTGCGTATTTGAACTCTTCAGGATCTGGTAAATTCTGGAATACCTTGACAAGAAAAACTGGTAGAATCCATCATTTCATTAGCCCATAACTTGACTGCAAAACACACATGAAACACAGAAGAGGGTAGTGCTCAAGAACCCTTTCACTGCATTTCTGTGCTGCTTAGTTTAGACTGACTTTAGAAAGAAAGATATGACCTTATAGAAGAAGGTTAAGTTATTTTTATCCTCTTCCTAAAAAAGAGTTCTGACTGCATTGTGTTATTCCAGAGCCACCCCACACTAGCAAGGTGAAAAGAGGGATGTAGAATCTGCGAGACTTCCGATGGGTTTGATTATGCACACTTGCCAAACAAAAATTTTGAACAGCTGTGTTATGGTTTGAAAACAAACCAGTGAGAGACTCCAAGTCAGAAATACAATTTAATAAGGAAAAAAAATAAAAGCAATAATACAAAGGAAAACCACAGACAGAGTCAGAATACAACCTGATACTCTGTAGTTAGGGTGGTGGTAGCAGTCCAGATGAAACAGTGGTCTCGTAGAAAAGATCTGGTAGCTCTTGTCCTCTGGAAATCCAGTGGGTAAGGCCCCCTATGCTGTACTGAACCCCAGTTTATATCCAGGTGGGAGCACTTGGCTCCTCCCCCTGGGTGGAGCATCTCACAATGGGTTGATATCAGTCTATGAGTCATGCAGTGGGTCCTTGATGGTCCATTAAACAGAAATAGCTCCTGGGGGGAGCTCTGTATGAGTCATGGGGCGAGGCATGGATGGGCCCATTAACAGGGAGGACTCCTCCTGCTGGGTGGGAAAGGTGTTAACATCTCCCCTGACCTTGAACTTCTTTCCTTATCTGTTATAGCCTGGGGTGTGAGGTCTGTCCTGGGCAGCTGCTACCCATGATTTTCTTAACAGCCATGAGCACTGACATAGAGTATAGAATATACAGTTTTGGTTCTACACACATAAGGATAAACTGGTCCCAGCCCCTGTAACCATGACAAGCTGTTTGGGGTTACAGATGATCTCATACCTGGTGAAGAGATGCCTTGTTATATAAAAGTTGTCTTGCGAGATGTTTGACAGCCTCAGCTCCTGATCCTGTGCTAACCCCACACCCTCAGCTGCATGACCAAGTTCTGCTGAA